TATATACGTGCTTTGGTGAGGGGCATTGATGCCAGTCACCCGTACATTGCTGAGTGATTGTGTGTGTGTGTGTGTGTGTGATGAGGTGTGCATTTGAGACAGACAACTTAAGTATGTTGAGAGTGAGAGCTTCTGGGGATATCACCATGAAATAATTCATTTGACATGCATACCTGACATGTAGGCATAGAGATGTATTATTCCTCATGCTAGTTGTAACTGACATGTTCTTATCAGTGTTGGGCTTTGATTGTTATCCTTGAAAGCATGTCTAAAATTCCTGTAATATGAATGAGATGATTATGATAATTCCTTTGAGTTACTTATTGCTATTGTCATCATTATATCTGTGTTGCCGTTTATATTGGTTTCTGACTGTCTTCTTTTGAGCTCGTCACTGCTTTCAACCCAAGGTTCGTTCTGTTACTTATTAAGTATATGTGTACGATTGTACTCATACTACACTGTGCACTTCGTGTGCATATCTAGGTACATCTGGACGTGGTGATTGCTAGAGCCGTGTTGTGAGCACGTGATTTTTGCTTCATCTAAATTACTCCTAAAAGGTCAAAAAATAGTTTTGTCAAATTATTTTGATTTTTAATAAAAGAATTTAAGATTTTCTTATTTGCATTATTAGAAACATGTTAAAATCATAAGAAAACTCATTAAAAATACCTTTTAAGTTCATTCATTGAATTTTTAGATTTAATTGTAAATATACAAAATCACAAAAAACAAATGTATTAGTTGCTTTGATTGATCAATTAGCTTAATTGGTCAAGTCACATTAATTAGTTAATTGTTAGTTAAAGTGGATAGTTGGTTTAATTTTACAAATTGGCTAAATTAGGTTACTTAATTAAGTGGTTAGTTGCGAAATTAACTGAGGAAGAGAGAAAGAAAAGAAAGAGGATCTGGTTGGGCCAATTTCGTTGGCCCAATTGCTTACATTACCCGCCCCAGTCAACTTTTTTACACGGCCCAATCTTGTTTTAAAAGCAAACGACCCCATTTTTGTTCCTTTCAATCTAAGCCGTTCTTCGATCATGATCGAACGACTCCGAACTGTCTGCCTGCTCCACATAAGATTATCCTAACCAGCCCCCGCCCCTGAAAATCTCTCTCAGAACCCCATTATCATCTTTATATACTCCGCCTCTCTCCGTCGCCCGTTGGAAATCGCCTACGGCTGTGGGCCACCTCCAAACAACTCCAAATCCTCACCCTACAATCCCCAACCTTTCTTCAGTTTAAATCCATTATTAGTTTTCCCGAGATCCCTTCTAATCTTTTCGTTTAGTAGATCTAGGATCGCCCAAAACATAAAACTGCACCTTTCTTAATTTCTCTTTAATTCTTGCCCGATTGAAGTTAAAACTCACACCAATCGACGTATCTTGATGAGTACTGTCAATTCGTGGTGTTCTCATCCCATTTTGTGGCCGACGAAATTTGGTCAAACCATGGTTGACCGGCCAGTTCCCTTCATCGCCTTGCATCGTTTCCTCGGGCCTAGCGAGAGTCATTGCTACATATAACACTGGCAGGCATAAAGCGATTTCTGCCAATGCGTGTGTAACAATTCCTCCGGCTCGTCAGAATTTTCTTGGGCCGTCAGTATTAACCTAATATGTTCTATTTCCCCCTGTTTCTCTCATTCCTATTTTCATTTCTTAGGTGTTGTTATTTGTTTGGATTCATAGGTGAATAATTACATATTTAATTGTTGATCCAATGGTATTAGAAGCTAAATATTTTCATGTTAAGCTGTTTAGTTTATCTCATGAATTAGCTTGTGCAAATTTCTTTATTAATTTTCCGTGTTCTGTTGTTGGTAATTAGTTACGATTATTAGGCCTTAGTTAATTTTAGTTCATGTTAGAGGAGATTGGGTCTGGGTAATTAACAGGGCTATTAAAGCATATGAAATTCATGGGCTTTGAGCCCAAGGTGACATGTTTAGTGTTATAAATTAGGAAGTTATAAATATTGGAAAAGTAAAAGGGGTATTTTAGAAATTAAATATAGGAGAATCTTTTCTGTTAACAACTTAAGGCTTCTAGAAGAGAATAGAAAGGGGCATATTAGCAATTAAAAGATGAGAACAGTTCTGGTGTGAGGGGATCTATGAGTAAACAACAGAAATAAAAGGGAGTAAAGGAAAAGAAAATGAGGGAGAGGGTTGTAACATAATCTTTCTATAAAAGAGCACCTCACCCACACATTTTTGAGGGTTTCTCATATGCATACACTCTTATTCATACACGAAATTCACATTCATTCTCACTCTCACACAAAAAAGTTAATAATCCCAATAAGTTAAATCAATTTCTGGATTCAAAATTTGAATTTCAGATCTGAAAACCAAAAACTCCAAAAATACAAAACTAAAACAAAAAAAGGAGATTCATAGGTTGTTTTCAATTTCTACTGGTTGCTGCATACTTTTCTAGATTTGCGAAAGATGTTCGAGCTAAGGAAATTGTTGTTTTCTGCTGTGATAAGTAGCTGAGCTTCTTCATCTTCTTCTCCAGACCTTTATTTGGTCATTTGATTGATGTTTTCTGCTTTACATATGTAAATAGCCCATTGATCTGTTCTATTTGGATCAATAGATGAAACTTGGATTGCTCATGTTGAAATTGTGTATGTTTGCTCAGATTTTGGTAGTTTAGTTTTCAGATCTGCTTGTTTTCCTTTTATGATCTGTATCTGATGCTATTTCTATTGAACAATCTATGAAGAAGAGAAAGTGCACATGCAAACAATTGGAAGGTTCTAGAAGAACGAGAGAGAGAGAGAGATAGANAGAGAGAGAGAGAGAGAGAGAGAGAGAGAGAGAGAGAGAGAGAGAGAGAGATCAAGTTCAAAGTGGAGCCATTTTCATATCTTTGCAAATGTACAGATTAAGTCTGAAAGAAAAAGCTAAAACCTATATATACACAGTAATAACCAACTAACCGACTAGAGATAATTAGTTACAAGTTTTCACTTATACACTTTAACCCCTAAACTAATGTGTTATGCTATGTTGGTTCAATACTCCCTCTCAAGCTGGAGGGGAGAAAAAGATTCTTCACTCCTAGCTTGCCAAGTAGATGATCATGCTGAGTTCCGCCCAGCCTTTAGTTAGTATGTATTCAATATGCTCTTTAGTGTTGACATGCACAGTTTTGATAGTTCCAGCTTTCACCTTTTCTCTGATAAAATGACAATTAATGTCTATGTGTTTTGTACGCTCATGGAATATAAGATTGGTTGCAATTTATGTTGCTGCCTTACTATCACACATCAAGGCGACTAACCTCTTAATCTCAAGGCCTAGTTCACTGAATAAGCCTGTCAGCTACACTATCTCTGCTGCTTCTAAAGCCATGCTTCGAAATTCTACTTCTGTTGAATTTCTTGCAACCGTTTCTTGCTTCTTCAACTTCCAAAAAATCAATGCATCACCATAGAACACTAGATAGCCTGTAACAGACCTTCTTGTGTGCAAACATGCACCCCAATCTGCATCACAATATGCTAATAATTGTCCATCTCTTTCTACTGGCAACAACAAACCTTGGCCTAGAGCAGCCTTGATATACCTCACTACTCTGGTGGCAGCATCCAGATGTGATTGTTTAAGAGCATACATGAACTAACTAAGTATTTGTACAGCATAAGAGATATCTGGTCGAGTCATTGTCATGTATAACAGTCTGCCAACAAGCCTTTGATATACACTTGCATATTTTAAAACAGGATCATGATCAGCATCACCACAGTAGTCAACTTCTGATTAACTTCTAGAGGAGTACTAGCTGGTTTTGATCCTGCTAGACCAAGTTCAGCTATCAACTCCAAGGCATATTTTCTTTGGCTCATATATGTGCCTTTAGAGGACCTTGCAAATTCAATCCCAAGGAAGAATTTCAGCTCCCCTAGGTCTTCATTTTGAAGAATCTCTGTAAATCTGCTCTAGTTTGATCAATCAACCGAACATGACTACTAGTGACTAATAAGTCATCTACATAGATGAGAACAAGCACTTGACTACAACATTCCCTTTTACTGAAGAGAGAATAATCATAGTGACTTAGTGTGAACCCCATTTTATGCAAGGCATTTGTGAGCTTAAGATTCCATTGCATGAAGGCTTGTTTGAGTCCATTGAAGGACTTGTAAAGTCTTCAAACTGGATACTCCACCTGCCTTGCAGTGGTAGGAGAGAAACCAGGAGGAATGGTCATGTACACTTCCTCCAAAAGATCACCCTGAAGGAAGGCATTATGAACGTCTATTTGGTAGATAAGCCAGCCATGATGTGCAGCTAGGGCAATGATGGTCCTGACTGTGACCGTTTTTTCCACAGGTGAAAAGGTATCTGTATAATCCAACCCCTCTTGTTGTGTGTACCCCTTAGCCACAAACCGGGCCTTATATCTTTCAACCTCTCCATTAGATTTATACTTGATCTTGAACACCTACTTACACCCAATAGGGTGCTTCCTAGGAGGTAAAAGAACTATACTCCATATTTCATTATCTTCCAAGGCTTGAAGTTCTTGATTCATTGTAGACACCCATTTAGGATCCTTAGCTACTTATGAGAAAGAACTGGGCTCAATCTCTGCTGAGTAAGCTGCAAGGCATTGACTGTAGGCATGCTTCAATGCTTGATAACTAATAGAGTTAGCAATAGGATAATTGCAAGGCTTACTCTTGCCAGCAGTCTGCCTAACTACATAATCATTCGTCCATATAGGAGGCCTAGAAGGCCTAGTAGACTTTCTGATCCCATCAGCAGTTAAGTCATCATCAACATATGAAAGAAGAGCATAAGTGAATGGAATTGGAGTAATGTGATTGGTAGGACTACTTGGAAGATCATCAGGAAATGGAAGCATAGTAGTGTGACTGGTAGAACTACCTTGAAGATCTTCAGTGAGTGGAATATGTGGTGGAGTGACAACAACAGAATCATCCAGGTGTTCCAAGTCAGATGATGGAGTGTCTTGTGATGTGGTAGAGTGGTGAGGTAGAGGCAAAACAAGATCATCAAAGTCAGAATCATAGACTGGAGCTATGACAGGAAATTATTGATCCTTCATGGGGCTGTTCATGTATTGGAGAAAAGGAAACACATCTTCCTTGAAGATAACATCTCTACTCATAAAAGGGTAGTGATTGTGCAAGTCATAGAGTTTGTAACCCTTTTGTACCAATGAGTAACCCAAAAATACAGCTGGTACTGCTCTGGGTGAGAATTTGTGTTGTCTTTTAAGATTTGCAGCATAAGCCAGGCAGCCAAATATCCTGAGATGATCTAGGGTGAAATTCTTGTGAAATACCAGCTCAAAAGGTAATTTACCAGACAAAATTCTAGAAGGAACTCTGTTAATCAAATACACAGCTGTTAAAATACACTCACCCTAGAATTTTAAAGGCAATCCAGCTTGGAATCTCAAGGCTCGTGCAGTATCCAAAATGTACCTATGCCTTCTTTCAACAACTCCATTTTGTTGAGGAATATATGAACATGAGCTTTGATGCACTATCCCCTCAGAATGTAACAAAGCTGTCAACTGCTTGTTAAAAAACTCTCCTCCATTATCTATTCTTAGTGTTTTAGGAGTAGTGGAGAACTTATTTCTTAGTAATTAAATAAAGTATTTCAAAACAACAACTGATTCATCTTTTGCGTTCATGAGGCAGATCCATGTATACCTACTGAAATCATAAATAATGGTCAGGAAATATCTTTTACCATCAAAAGTTGGAACCTTAAAGGGTCCCCATATATTTGCATGTATAAGGTCACCAAAAACATCACATCTACTGCTGCTAATAGGAAAAGGTAATCTTGTCTTCTTTGCTAAAGGACATACTGGACAGTGTTCATTACAATCAATAAATGTCTTATTGTGAAATACTGGTAATCTCTTCAAAGCATCTAAAGGAATGTGACCTAATATTTTATGCCACAAATAGCTACTTATTCTATTCATTACTAAAGCAGAAGTAATAACACCAATTGGCAACTTGGGATTTGATTTGTGCTTGAGGTCCAACACATAGAGTCCTTTCTCCAGCTTACCAATCCCCTTCACCTTCCCATTGCAAATGTCCTGGAAGACACACCAAGCAGGAAAGAAGGCAATGAAGCATCCAATGTCCCTTGTAAGTTGTGAAACAGATAGTAAGTTGTACCTAAACTGTGGCACATATATGACATTTTTAATTTGCACACCATTCAGAATATTAGAGGATCCTAGGTGCATAATCCTACTAGTTTCACCAGTTGGCAACTGCACTTTCCTACTTTCTCCTTTAGGAATATTTATAAAATCAGTGAAAAAATCCAAACTAGACACCATATGGTTAGTGGCACCTGAGTCTATGATCCACTTATCCTGCTGAACTCTGCTCAAGAGTGACAATGGTATACATGTGTCCTTGGCATGAGCTGCTATTTCAACAGGTGTTGTGTTCTGGTTGAGCAGTTGAAGTAGTTGTTTATATTGTTCCTCTGTGAAGAAGTTCCCTGAAGTTGCTACTCCAGGACTTCCTTGGCCTGTTGGTCCTTTGGAATAGTCAACCTATGCATTGTGTGCTGCTACTATATTTCTTCTAAAAGATTTCTTCTTTTGCTTGTAGTCAGGTGGGCAACCTACCAACTTGTAACAAATATATTTAGTGTGTACTTTTAATTTGCAATATTCACAGAATACCTGAGCTTTCTGCTTGTAGCCACCAGGAAATCCTTGTCCTGAGTTGTATGCCATAGCTGCAACTCCTATCTCCAAGCCACTAATGTTCATTGTCTTTGCTCGTTGACTCTCATCCTGAACTACCATCCCATAGGCCTCATTGATAGTAGGTGTAGGAATCATAAGCATGATCTGACCCTTTGCTCGGCCAAATGACTCGTTCAGTCTACTTAGAAATTGCACCAAACGCTGATGTTGAATGTGCTCTAGAAACACCTTCGATTCTGGACGCGGACACGATGGAGTAGGGGCCATAGCATCGTACTCATCCCACAGATCCTTGAGCTTAGAATAATAAGTTGATACGGGTGATAATCCTTGCTTAAAACCCGCGATTTCCTGAAGTAAATTGTAAATCCGCAATATGTTCCTTTTATCGAATTTCTCCTTCAAATCCTTTCACACATTATGTGCAGAGGATGCATAAACCACACTGCTATACAACTCTTTTGTTACTGCATTCATAATCCACGACAAAACAAAGGCATTGCATCTTTCCCACTGATCATAAAGATTCTTCTTAAAATTTTCCTTGCGACAAGTACCGTCAATAAATCCGATTTTATTCTTCGTAAAAAGTCCAATTCTCATGGATCGACACCACAAATTGTAATTTTCAGTGCCTAATAGTTTGAATTCAATCAGATGCCCACCTGGCGAATCCTAAGGTCGCAAATACAGAGGATGATTGTGACTTAGTACTATGTCATCACTCGTTGCTTCATCAATTGCCATTTTACTCTGAATTGAAAAATGCTAGCTCTGAAATTTAGGTCGTCAATGGAGAAGAACACTGAATCCGAGAGCAGAACTGGTCATCGAAGCTTAATTGGAAGGCTTTGATACCATATTAAGCAATCTACGAAGAAGAAAAAGTGCACATGCAAGCAATTGGAAGGTTCTAGAAGAACGAGAGAGAGATCGAGCTCAAAGTGGAGCCATTTTCATATCTCTGCAAATGTACAGATTAAGTCTCAAAGAAGAAGCTAAAACCTATATATACACAGTAATAACCAACTAACCGACTAGAGATAATTAAGTTACAAGTTTCCACTTATACACTTTAACCCCCAAAACTAATGTGTTATGCTATGTTGGTTCAATAATTGCCTATTGATATGTTCTAGTTAAATGTCCAAGCTATTAAGTAAGGCTGGATTAATTTAGATCTTTGTTTGTCGATAATAATTGATGAGTCATGTTTCAAGCATACAAACAGTGATTAACTAACTGACTGTTCATCTATTTGAATATTGTGTTAGCGGTTAGCCACATTCGACTTGTGACGGTAGCCTAATGGCTATCTCCTTGTGAGTTGAGGATTCGTTTGGAGAGGAGAAGGAAAACAATCATCACACGAGCAGCTATTTTCAGGAAAATAATGTAAGAGGCATGAAACTTGATTTTAGATTAGTAATCCGTGATATTTATTACTTAGCTTGGTTTGTGGTTTACATTGACGTTTGGAATTGAAGTATGCATTTGGCCAGACCAGTTAGCACGAGTCAAATAAAGATTGCTTTTGTGTTTAATACTAACAAACCTTTTATTTCTAAAAAAAATGAAAAGACAATTGGACCTCAATTTAGGATCACATAGATTCACGACAGTTTCATGCTTTAAAAAAAATGTTTATATAGGCAAGGCACTAATCTCCTAAATTGTAAAATCAAATGATTTCCTAAATTCGGTGTAGTAATCCACTGATGTATGCACTTCGACAAAAACTCCATAACGTTTGAGCCTTTCACATGCAATCTTGAACTCTAGGTAAAGTAATTATCTCTTGAATATTCGTGGAATGATTTAAGCCGCACTTTAATTTATTATCGTGATTATGTATACGTTCGCGTGATATAATATGACCCCAAAATAAATCAGAGTACGCGTTCGTGCGACTTTAGCCAAACAATCTTAACAATAAATATAGTGTTATTAATTGTGTACACGTGTGCGTAACATGATTTTAATACACGAATAAGACGGATAAACACACACTTGATTCATTTCAAAGATTAGTTCCATAATTCAATAATCAGGTAATTAAAAGCGGTAAAAAGGCAAAAATACACATAGGTCTTTAAAATACGAAATAATTAGATAATCAAGCCAAGTTATGATTGTAAAACGACCGTGCTAAAACCACAGAATTCGGGAGTGCCTCACACCTTCTCCTGAGTTAGTAGAATTTCTTACCCGGTCTTCTATGTCTCGCAGACTTAAAAAGAGTCAAACTTCCTTTAATTGAGATTTAAAATAAACCAGTGGCTTGTGACACATTAATTATTCAAGTGGCGACCCTAAATTAATCCCTTTTCAATAATGTCACTTAAATTGGAAAAATTCTTTTTCCTGGAAAAAGGAGGTGTGACACGTGTTAGTACTAGCATTTGGAGACTTCGAGGTAGTTGCTATGACGTCCGCAAACCCTGACTCTCTTTCCTTTATTTCTCTTATTATTGTTCTATTGTCCAGATAATTGTACTAAGGGTTTGGTTGTATTTTGGTACTCAGTAATGCTCATGAACTCGTTGACATCAGATTTTGGGGATGGTTGCAACAGTTTCGTATTATTTTTAAGATAATTATGATATTTCCGCTGATAAGTTTATTAAACCATGTTTATTCAAATATTTAACTATTATGTGACTGTTGGCTTGCCCGACGAGTAGTGTTAGGTGCCGTTGCGACTGTGGTGGGAGTTGCGTCGTGACATATAGATACAAATTAGATATTGTAAATTATGCCTATCAGAATTGATGAAATAAGTAATATTCACAATGTAACAAAAACAAANATATATATATATACTAATTTCTTGGCATGTGTATGTCGAAGTAATCTATGATTTTACAATAGTATCGATTATAGTAAACCAAAGCTTTGGGCAAGTATTATAAATGAAAAAATAAAGTAAATATTTTTTTTTTTGTGAATGATCAATATGAATCGTATGGTGACTACTTGTTGGATATCTTCTGAAATTACGAAAAAGAATAATCAAAATTAATTATATAATGTTTTTCTTTTACTTATTTTAATTTTATGAGATAAAAATATGTAATGAAGCGTATCTCATTTTTTTTAATAGATGATGTTCATGGTGTATATTTTTGTCATCTATTTAGATTGCTTTTTCATTATTATGACTATGACTTTTGTTGACAAATTTCCTAGTTAAAGAAGAAATAAAGAAATTTAGTAGTAAAAATTTACTCCATAAAGTAAGATATATGTGTACATAAGATTGTTGGCATCATATCTTTGTAAATTGAGATTCTAACAAAATTTTCAAAATTTTTATTGTCATATTCAGCAAAATCATCTCCCCATAAAGTATATCTATATGATCATATACCTATATATTTAAAATTATATTAACTTATCTATATAGTACATCAAATGAACTTTTTTCATGAAAACTTGTGTAATTTTAACTTACATTTTATTTATAACTATTATCTCTTTTTTTATCCTGCTCCGTTCTTCTCCAATAAGTGATTTCACATTACTAACATGTAAACTATATCTCGAAACATGAACCTTTATATTTAGTTATAAAAATATCTTTATTTTTGATTTAGTATATGTAAATTTAATTTCAAAAAGAATAATATGGTTAAATAATATTGATTGTATTTCTAGAATCGTGTGTACTAAATGAGTTGAAATTCAAATTGTAACGACTCGACTTGTCGTTTTAAGAATTTACGCCCCGTACAGTGACTTAAGGTCTCGAACAGTTTCGTAATATGTATTATGACCTGCGGGTGTGGTCGAGTTTGATTTTCGGAAGATTCGAGATTAAATTGAAAGAACAATTCTCATTTTTAAAGTTTAAATGAAAAGAGTTGACCAGAGTTGGAATTTTGAATAAACGACCCCGAAATAGAGTTTTGATTATTCCAATAGTTTCGTATGGTGATTTTAAACTTAGGAGTAAGTACGGAAAATTATTTGGAAGCTCGTAGTTAAATTAGGCTTGAAATGACGAAAATATGAAGTTTAAATTGGAAGTTTGATCGGGGAATTGACTTTTTGATATCGGGGTCGGAATCTAGTTCTGAAAATTTTTATAGGTCTGTTATGTCATTTATGACTTGTGTGCAAAATTTAAGGTCAATCGGACTTGATTTGATAGGTTTCGGCGTCGAATGTAGAAGTTGAAATTTCTTAGTTTCATTAAACTTGAATTGGGGTATGATTCGTGGTTTTAACGTTAGTTTGATGTGATTTGAGATTTCGACTAAGTCCGTAATATATTTTGAGACTTGTTGGTATGTTCGGACGGGGTCCCGAGTGGCTCAGGTGAGTTTCAGGGCGATTTCAGACCATTTTTAGGCCATTTTTAGTTGCTGATTTTTGGCCATAGAGGTATGCATCGCGATCGCGGACAAACGGTCGCGATCACGAAGAGCAATTTTGTTGTTTGGATACTGTGAATCGCGATCGCAGAAGCCTTTTCGCGATCGCGTAGAGGAAAATCCTGCTGCACTGATCCGACTTTGGGAGTTTATATTTTGCAATCTATAAGGAACTGGGAGATGAGTAAAACATGAAAGTTGTAGCTCTTGGTGTCTAGTTTTCACAAAGTTAAACCATTTATAATTTGAAGTTTTGTACAAAATGTTATGACCATTATACTAGAGATTACCTGAAAAAGTTGAGCACTAGTTCTTTACGATCGCGAAGCATTTTCCGCGATCGCGAAAGGCAAATTTTGGGCTCAGAAAAGTTGTGCTTCTCGATCGTGAAGCATTTTTTGCGATCGCGAAGAGTAAATACCTCGACAATAGCTTTATTTCGAGGTTTCAGCCATTTTTAACATATTTGGAGCTATGAAGCTCGGATTGAAACGATATTTGAGGCAATGTTTACCATATGGATTTGGGTAAGTGTTCTATATCTGAAAGTGATTATACTTCATGATTTTATGGTTATATTCATCATTTATTTCGGATTTAAATGGAAGAAATCAAGATTTTTTAAAACCTTTTCAAAAACGGAAATTCAAGATTGGGAGGACGATTTGTTATTCGAATTCAATAAAATTTGTATGGTTGAACTCGTATCGCAATGGGTGTTTGGATTTCGTGAAAATTATGTCGGGTTTCGAGAGGCGGCCCCGCATTGACTTTTGTTGACTTTTTAGAAATTTTTTTAAGTCGACGTTTTATTATTCGGAATTATTTCCGATGAATATTAATGAAGTTGTACAATTAATTTGGATAGATTTGAGCGGTCCGGAGGTCAATTCAAGCAAGAAGACAATTTTGGAATATCGGCATAACTTCAAAAAGGTAAGTATCTTTCCTAACCTTGAGTGGGGGAATTACCCC